CTTGACCTCGTGATCCACCCGCCTCGGCCTCCCAAAGTGCTGGGATTACAGGCGTGAGCCACCGCGCCTGGCCGAGACACTGTTTCTTTAAAAAAAAAACAAAGCAAAACTGATGGGATGGGAAGAATGAAGTTAGGAAAAAATTGATACCACTTCATGTTGTTACTTTGAAAAAAGAGAAATAGAAAAAAATTGAGCATCAATTTTTTTTTTTCTTTTCTTTTTTTTGAGACGGAGTCTCGCTTTGTTGCCCAGGCTGGAATGCAGTGGTTTGATCTTGGCTCACTGCAATCTCCGCCTCCTGGGTTCAGGCGATTCTTCTGCCTCACCCGAGTAGCTGGGACTACAGGTGCGTGCCACCATGCCCAGCTAATTTTTTTTGTATTTTTACTAGAGATGGGCTTTTACTATCTTGGCCAGGCTGGTGTCGGACTCCTGACCTTGTGATCTGCCCGTCTTGGTCTCCCAAAGTGCTAGGATTACAGGCATGAGCCACTGCACCTGGCCTTTTGAGCATTAATTCTTAATCCTTAGGTATTTAATTTGCAAAGAATAAACATAGTAACTGATTATTGTGGACTTTATAAAATGCAAACAAAAAATTAACAAGGATGATAATTAAAAATGAAGTTAAGATATTTTCCTTTTTTACCCTGGGGCATCTTGGGTACTCCTGGAGGTGTGTGTGTGTGTGTGTGTGTGTGTGTGTGTGTGTGCATATATATATAAAATGTATATATATTTTTGAGACAAGAGTCTTGCTCTGTTACCCGGGCTGAAGTGCAGTGGTGCAATCTTGGCTCACTGTAACCTCCATCTTCTGGGTTCATGTGATTTTTGTGCCTCAGCCACTCAAGTAGTTGGGATTACAGGTGTGTGCCATCATACCTGGCTAATTTTTGTATTTTTTTAGTAGATACGGGATTTTGCCACGTTGGCCAGGTTGGTCTGGAACTCCTGGCCTCAAGTGATCTGCCTGCATCAGCCTCCCAAAGTGCTGGGATTACAGTTGTAAGCCACCGTGCCCGGTCTCCTGGAGGTATGTTATACTTGCTTTGGCTGCTACTGCTTTAGACTCCTAAGGTTTAATATTGGGCATTTATAGATCCTTGTTTTTAGGCATTTCACTAGTTTTGCAGATGGCCCAGTTTAGTTGGATTATGAATGCCTTTAAACTATCCCATGCTAGGCTGGGTGCAGTGACTCATGCACTTTGGGAGGCTGAGGTGGGTGGATCACGAGGTCAGGAGATCGAGACTATCCTGGCTAACATGTTGAAACTAAAATACAAAAAAATTGGCCAGGTGTGGTGGCTCACACCTGTAATCCCAGCACTTTGGGAGGCGGAAGCAGGGGGAGTTTGAGACCAGCCTGATCAACATGGAGAAACCCCCATCTCAAAAACAAACAAAATATAAAAATATTGGCTGGGCATGGTGGCATGCACCTGTATTCCCAGTTACTTGGGAGGCTGAGGCAGGATAATTGCTTGAACCCAGGAGACAGAGGTTGCAGTGAGCCAGGATCGTGCCACTGCATTCCAGCCTGGTTGACAGAGTGAGACTCCATCTCAAAAAAAAAAAAAAAAGTTCCATGCTCTTGAGAGTCATATTTGCAATATCTGCAGTAAGGGCAAAAATAAATTTAAAGCATCAGTTTGATACTTTTTGCATTGTTGAGGTGGCTGAATTTGAATAGGGTGAATCATAGGATAAGAATCAATGCAGTCTATTTCTTTTCAATATGAATAATTAATATTGTGTAGAGCATATGTTTAAAAATTACGTTTTTTGGAAAGCAGTTTGGCAGTAATATATATCTCTCTGTTTTTAAAGAGGTTAGGTCTTAGAGACTGAGTGAAGGGATGAATAATTGCTACTTGCTCTCCTTTGCTCTCAAAGTAACACAGTTGCCGGGCGCGGTGGCTCACGCCTGTAATCCCAGCACTTTGGGAGGCTGAGGCCGGTGGATCACGAGGTCAAGAGATCGAGACCATCCTGGTCAACATGCTGAAACCTTGTCTCTACCAAAACTACAAAAAATCAGCTGGGCATGGTGGTGCGTGCCTGTAATCCCAGCTACTCAGGAGGCTGAGGCAGGAGAATTGCCTGAACCCAGGAGGCGGAGGTTGCGGTGAGCTGAGATCGCGCCATTGCACTCCAGCCTGGGCAACAAGAGCGAAACTCCGTCTCAAAAAAAAAAAAAAAGTAACACAATTAACCTGTCACTAACTCTATTTGGAATAACCTGAGCCTGTAACAAACTTTCCATGATGATTCTTAGATTAAAATATAATTTTTTCTTGAATTTGAATAAGTTGCTTTTAATTTGTGGCTGCCTGCTTCTCAACCCCCATAAATTATGAAATTAGGAAACAAGGCCTTTTGTATTAGAAAAAAATGAGTCTTTTCTCCCCCATTTTGGGGAAATTAGTTTCAGTTATTTCATACGGGTCATTGGCAGAGAAAGATAATATTAAAATCTTAGAGAGTGTGAAAAGAGATTATATTAAACAACTTGAATGATTTTTTTTTTTTTGCCATTTAAAAGAAGTGAGGTAATTTATATCGAAGGTGATTGCTGTATACAGTGCTTTGCACAAAAGGCCACATACCCTTTTTACCTTAGGTAACATGACTTATAAGCTACTTTCACATACTGTAAACTGTCAATATTTATAGACTAACTGTTTAAACTTCTGCATTTTTATTTACACCTGTAAATAAGTTATAGCATTATAAAACCAACACTTACTTTTTCCATAGTTAGATTGTTCCTTCAGCTGATGTGCACAGAAAATATTTTTGTGGAAGAAGTCATGAATTTTAGATTAACCTTTCACATATCCCTTTACTTTCTCTTAAGATACTTTAGTGGTGACAAAAAATACTCTTAATGTCATTCCTTTCACTGTTTGTGTAACTCCTATGGCAAGACTGTATATTTGTGTATATATTTGTATGTATATATGTATATGCACATTTGTATATATGTATTTGTTTATTTAGTGGGCTGCTGTTTATAAAGAAAATGTACTCATTAGTTGGTCTTTGCATACATAATGGTTCCCAAAACATGGACTCTATGGTTTGCTGTCAGTGAATGAAAAAGAGCAGGTATGATTCCCCTCATCTTTGTTACTCTCTTCAGTTTCCTGTACATATGGTTGACCTACTCAGCAGTAAGTATAACTTCTTTACACTGAAGAAAATTAGTCTTCCAAAAAGCTAGTAGGCTACTTCCCCCTTGTTCTACAGTACTTAAAATCCTGTTTGGTAAATGAACTAATATACTTTTATATACAGAGGAGACCCTGGATGGCCAGGAATGGAAATAATAGTAGTGATTAATTTCTCTCTTGTGGGATAATGTGACTTTTTTGCTTCTTATTCTTTTATAGTTTCTCAGTTTTCTAAAATGAGCATGTATTACTTTTCAATTAGCAATAATCACACCTCAGATAAACCTCATTGGCTACGATACTGCCACTGCACAAAGCTATGTATTACTTTTATAAGTAGGAAAAACTGGTATTTTATTTTATTTTTTATTGTTTAAGATGGAGTCTCACTGTGTAACCTAGGCTGGAGTGCAGTGGTGTGATCTCAGCTCATTGCAGCCTCTGCCTCCCAGGTTCAAGTGATTCTCATATTCAGTCTTCCAAGTAGCTGGGATTGCAGGCACAAGCTACCACAGCTGGCTAATTTTTTGTGTTTTTTTAGTAGAGATGGGGTTTCACCTTGTTGGCCAGGCTGGTCTTGAACCCCTGACCTCAGGTGATCAGTTGACCTCCCAAAGTACTGGAATTACAGGTGTGAGCCACCATGCTCAGCCAAAAACTGATATTTTAAGTCTTTATATTTCATTGGATGTCTTGTGAAGGTTTAAGTCACATCACCATTGAGGAAGTGGCTGGTTAACTGGCTCCAGTTCACAAGAGGAGTGGCAGCTGTAGGAAGTAGTATGGGAGGAATGGGGCAGGTAAGCTGATTTGAACTTTATCCTTGTGAACTCCACTATGACTAAAGACATTCTGGGATTTGATCACAATTAAACACAAGAGGACTTAGCTATCCAGTTTTTCTGTTTATAAGCTGATTGAGAATGTTGAAGGACACCTTAAGAAAAATCAGTTTGTATGGACTCTGTAAACACAGAACTCAGCTCGAACTCCCAAGTTCTGTGTCTCTGTGTGTGTGTTGTGCTGTGTTTTAACTATCAAGTGGAGTTGTGGCAACTCAGATGGGATATGGTTTATATTAATACGTCTAATATGGATTGGAAGATATTTAGGCAAATGATTTTTATTATGACAGTATAGACTCATTGGAGTTTTGGTGTTAATATACAGCTGGGAGTTGAGCCAGTCTAAGTTTGTATACTCATCTGGTGATATTTTAGGAAGAGCTATGTCATATATCCTCTAGAATTTAAGTGATTAGAGCCTGTTGGCTTTTGCTGTTAGTTTACTGCACACTTATAGTGCATTAAATGCTTCTGTGAATGGAGAATATCATTCAAAAAGGTTAGATTTCTGGGTTAAGACATTTGTTATTATCTGGCTTTACTTTATTCTTTTAAAGAGTAAGAATAGCTGGGCGCAGTGGCTCATGCCTGTAATCCCAGCACTTTGGGAGGCTGAGGCGGGCAGATCTCAAGGTCAGGAGTTCGAGACCAGCCTGGCCAACATGGTGAAACCCCATCTCTTAAAAAAAAAGGAAATGTAAGATTAGGCCAGATGTGGTAGCTCATGCCTATAATCTCAGCACTTTGGGAGGCCAGGGTGGGCAGATGAGGTCAGGGGTTTGAGATCAGCCTGGCCAACATGGTGAAACCCTGTCTCTACTAAAAATACAAAAATTAGCTGGGCTTGGTAGAGAGCATCTGTAATCCCAGCTACTCGGGAGGCTGAGGTAGGAGAATTGCTTGAACCCATTAGGCGGAGGTTGCAGTGAGCCAAGATTGTGCCACTGCACTCCAGCCTGGGTGACAGAGGGAGACTCTGTCTCAGCAAAAAAATATAATGAAAAAAAAGTTGAGGAGCAGTTGAGGTAATAAACGTAGGTTGGTGCAAAATTAATCGTGGTTTTGGATTGCGAATTTAAATTATTTCAACTAGACCCAAACGTATCTTTATTAATCAAAATAGGAACCATTACAATCAACACATTTTTGCCAACGAGAAATAAGTTTGTTTATTCCT